CAACAAACAACTGCAGACATTGCACATGAACAGCTGCCACCTACGCTCACTCGATACTGAAAATCAGATCAGACAGATGGCGAGAATAATAGGAATAAGCAGGGAGGAACTCTGGCCTAGCAACGAACCAACCAACAACCAACAACCTAGCACCCGACAAATATGCAGAAGAGAGTGGAGATGGATTAGGTTAGATTGGACATACACTGAGAAGACCGATTGGGGACATCATGCATCAGGCCAGGTCAGGTCGTCGAGTGGAACCAAAATGAGGAACGATGAATTGGGTGTGTGAGGTGAGGGTGACATGGGGGAGATGGTGTGAGGAAGAAATGAAAGTTTGTTAGGAGTGGTGGAGCGAGGTTGAAAAGACTGGAGAGAAGAGAGTGAAATGGCCATGTGCTACTGAAGCCCTGTGTTCCACTAGGAACCCAAATAACAAATAATAATAATAATAATAAAATTGCTATGAAACGGAATTCCTGAATCTCTAGTCAGAAGCCTTAATATGTGTGGTCGACCAGGTTGGGAGTCGAGACAAATACCACCGATGGCAGAGGATGACGGATGCAAGGCATCATGAATGAGAAAATATTAGCCATCGATTTTCTAACGTAGTGTATGTTTGGTGAAGTGGTAGGTGCAAGAACTGGCGGTTCTCGATCCAATCATACATAGGGTCGTCGGTGGCGACCATTGGAAAGTTCCAAATTAGGATGAAAAAACTCTCCAATACTACCAGATTTCCAGAGATTCACTGAATGATATCGGTCTATGATTAAGACGTCTTGAAATTAACAAATTCCCCACAGAGTTCCAAACTGAACTTGCAGAATCCGACTAATATATATCACTGTAAAAATAAGTGTCAATGTAAATAACCTTCCAGTCAAAACAACAATTGCACTATCAGGAAAATAAAATTAGGATGGAAAGAGACTTACTAATACCCAACTAATCGATACGTTAATAATCTCGTCATAAGAATACATATTATATTTATAGTTCCCACTAACTGACTATATGTCAAAAATAAATTATACTGTCCCACATTCCGGAAACTGAAAGTTCATACTAGATCAAAATTTAATAATTATTCGAAGGTTAGTCACATAAGAAAGCAATATCACCAGTGGAATGACCAGCGGTAATCAAGGATAAACGAATAGGCTTTTCGCCCTGTTCTTAGACTCTTCAGTGGTGTGCATTCATGCCACTTTTACTTAATATCTCTAATTAAGGACATTCAACAAACTGTTGTCTTCAAAACTGTGTATAATAATTAATTATATGACACTGGGTGACGCGGGTTCGAACCTCGGTTCCATAGAGGTTGCAGATATACTACCTTATTGACGACTATCAACAAGCACGAAACCTAAATCAAACAGTGATTTCTGTTGATTGCTTCCAACAAACTGACATCCATCAACTGCACCGAGATGGTGAGCCTCTTAACTTGGTGACCACATTGCAAATTGATCGATAGAATTCGATCACCACTGAGGAATAGACATGATATTGGTTGCTCTTAGGTGACCAACCAAAGTATTGTATAACATAAATACCTGATCAACAAATATTTACGAATAATTTGTTATTCTCACATGAGTAAAGGCAACCCCATCAGGAAATTTTGTGTAATGAGATCCTTGAACATTGTGAGCACGTAACTCTAGCGAGTTAAAACGAGCAAAAAACGTAAGTAAAAAAGAGGTTTCTTCATTGCTATCACCAAATAATAAACGCATCGTAATTTCGAGTCATTGATCTAAATTTGTTCACCTTCAAAATTGATCGGCAGAGTGTAGTCAATACTGGAGACTAGATAGAACTGTCATTATCCAACAGCGATTCACCGGTTGAGATAAAATTCGTACAGGGGTTCTTAACTTCTGTGCATAGAATAAGCAGACAACTTGAAGAACTCGCTGCATGAGTGAACCAGAAATTTGCACTGATTCATAGACTGAATAAGGTATAGCGTCAGTTCTAGCAGAACTGTCGACATCCTAACACCAGTTTTCTAAGACACATCTCTCATATTATGTTCAAATACCCTTCTCTCTACATTAGTTTCACAATTACGGTTATTTATTTCACCATGGTATGATGTGATGAATAGTATAGGTAACTAGAACTGATCGTAATGATACTTCTTCTGTATGAATCGATAGAGAGAGAGAAATTGACTTCAGTGAACACGGAAGACTGTTTACACTGATTAATCACTGACATCTTCCTCTCTATATGAAAACTTAGAACCTACATTAACTGGATTATTGAGACAGTGTTTCTTCAAAATTTCACGAAGAATAAGTATCTCTAACACTAAAATGATCTTATCTAGGTAATCCGAAATTTCCTCTACCGGAATGTCTGACTAGAACCTCAGAACTCGTAATGAGTCAGTGAATAAAAAAGTAGGACGTGGTACTAGTACGAACTGGTTAAAGTAATCACACCTAACGTCTATACATCAAGAAGAAAGATATAGAAATGAGGAAGAAAGTAATGGAGAATATTATGAAGCCGTAAAGGAAGGAGGAAGAAAAGATGAAACGATAACGAAATTCGGAATGATGATTAGGATGAGAGTAATATACTGAAGCAAGTATACCACCACCAACTTCGGCTGTCACAATAGCCCTATATACAGCTCAGACCAATAGTCAGAGACTTCATGAACTGATGCCATGTTTTATTCTGGCCGCCCTTAACCTTTTTCCAGCCTAAACCTATATCAGCTAAAATTGTGTAATGGGACAGATCGTGACTGAGTAGACAGGTGGCACATGCCTCAGATACCCGAGTTGATGAAATTTCATAATCTCATCAATTGATGTTCCTCTCCTATCTAAAACTCTATACCTGACTCCCGCCATACTCACGTGGTGATTCCACGACACAAGACCTAAACTACTAAGGTAACGGTGATCGAAGACATGAAGCCTTCTCATATCCTCCAGCTTTAGTGACCATACTTCACAGGCATAAAATATAACACTGCAGCGCAATGAACTCGACCCTTTATACGCAACCGGACATCAATTCGAGCCTTTTTCATCCGTGAAGAGGATTTGTCAGTCACTTATCCAACTTTCTAAGTGAGTGAAGTGGTCAACGCGCATAACCACCTCAGTCTTTATAGCTACTAGACAAGACATTAATGTAGATCAATACTGGAGCTACAGTTTGCATTCGGGTGATGAGACACCCATCCCAAACATTATCAAATAGCCATTGAATGTATTCAAAAGACCGTGCATCGCGTCAACATCACCTAACAGGAATATGTCATCTGCTTACTTAAAGTGTACTATGGAATTTCCCGTGACAAAGTGAATACGACTAAAGTAAAGGGAACCTCCGGATCCATATTTATGAAAAAGGTGGACCATAATGGTAAGGATGGTCAGCTGTGACTAACGCCACAGACTCGACTAAAGTGCCTTCAACAGAGTGACATACTTACCCGGTACGTGTTTTATTGAGATACTACCACAGGACCTTTCCGTCAACGGTGCCGGACGCCGGCTTCAAGTGAGGTAATATGGTTAGTGTTGGGTGCTGGTAAGTATGTCTGTGTTCCAGAATCTGGTAAAAGGTGCAGATCTACTGGATACACCCACGATTAGGTCTGAAACCTACTTGTTTTATAGGATTTTCTGTTTCCAAGCCTCACTCAGGTCTCGAGAGATTAAAGAAACTGAAATCTTAGACACTATACTTGTCTGACTGATTCCCCGTTAGTAAAGGCTGAGATAACCAATTAGCTTCCTTTACTTCGGCTAGACAGGTAATTTTTTTCATAAAATGGAGAAGCCTAACCGGCTATTTCAGCAGTTACTAGGGTAGCCTTTAGATTTACTCGATATAATGTAGTTGACAAAAAAATCCTTCACAGTATTAAATATAATCTAACTGAACTGTCGTGGTAGTTATAATAATTCATTCACAAATTTTATCTAACATCGTTAACTATAGTGCTAAACTCTGTCACATCATCGTTTAGTTAAGCAAATAAAATAGCGACTTAAAATTAAGAGATATAACTGAGACCAAATAAAAATGAACGAACTAAAACTTAAGTACACTTGAAATCTTGTATCTACCAAATTCCATTCTATTCTCTAGCCGGATTAAAGAAACAATTAAACGCTGGAATATCGCAGAACTTACATGTAAATTACCAAAGTCTAGATTATCTGAAGTTGTACAGACTCATCATCACACTGTGAAACCACTGAATGTTAGGCAACCAAGATAAATTTAAGAGTAATAGAAGGAAGTCAATAAACAAGATTATAAATATTTATCAACTGAAAACATCATGAGATTATTCAACACATCAGTAACCGCTTACCTAGAATAGTAATATCGTTTCAACGTGAATGTGAACTTACGACGATCAAATGAGAAATCTGATACCAGTCGACAAGTCCATTGACTTTTAATCATGAGAGTCAGTCAGGATAAGCGAAAAGATGTGACACAAAAGTAGACATTAATGATGTGAATCGATTCAAAAGTTTAAGAGTATCAAACTTTTGTTTGGTTTGTTCTAATTATTTCTTTCGTTGTGCTGCTTTGAAATTGTGATCAGCAAAACTGATGCACCAATCTGTCAAGTTCTACTTTGATATGATTAGCAGCATAGTGATAAAAGTGATTCCTCGATTAAATACAGTACTCATTCCTTCCTATTCTACAACCGCTCATAGGATAGCAGTATTAAATATAATCATGATATACTGAAATATAAAAATCCAAGGTATATTCAAACACACAAAACTGCAAATAAACACAATGGTCGGTTTATGATATAACTCAGACGCAATTCAAACCTGTGAGATCGTAGTTGACGCCTGAATCAATCAGCTATGGATTCTACACTAGAATGATTATCCTGATGAAAACATAAGCCTATTTCCCTACAATTTGTTGTCTCTTTCCCGGTTTTAACCAAATCCCATCAAGATTAATGAGAAAACAAAACACAACCTTCATCAAATACATTTACGATCTCACAGAAAACCGCTAATCATATTATGACTGTTATCAATGATATAGGACAAAATTATAAATATGTATTAGTTTTTATTATTATGCAGTATGCAAAGAGGAAGGAAAACAAAAAAACAAAAACGACTTTCAATAAACTAGAAATAAGTAAGCAAACAAACATGCGAAAATAAATCTAACTAATTACGTCCCCCTGTAAATAGAAGAAGTGGAAGTAATAATAATCATGATAATAATAATAATATATAATCTGAACATGTAGTGTGTGTGTGTGTGTGTGTGTGGGGAGGGGGGGGCCATTTGGAACAGGAGAGAGAAAGATAGAAATGCAACAGTCAAGAAAGTGAATATACCTAGAGTATAACTTTAAAAGTACAAATACGTATACGGTAATGTGTGGTGTAGACGAAAACAACATTATATATAGGAAATTCACGCGAAACAGCTGCCGCATATTACCAAATAATAAAGGAAAATGAAGGAAAATATTAGCATGGATAAATGTAGACGACAGATTGATATATACCAGTGATAATAATAACAATATTAATAATAATACTCATAGTAACAACGATAATATGGAATGTTTAAACAGAGAAAAGAAAGACAATTGAACATCAACACAGTAAACTAAAATAGAATGACCTGAAGGGAAAGAAAGTAAACATGGACTAGACAAGCACATTCAAAGGTGTTTCCTTTACAAGGATGAATAAAGGTGCATATCATTTTGTTGAACACAAATGTGTTATATGTGAATGAGGAATGCTGAAAGTAATTAAACGAAATACTACAAAGACAAATCTCTCTTTCGGCTTAAGGAAAGAAACGATAACTTAGATAATGCAAAAAAGATAACTGTGAGTAAATAAAGTTGTTCCATTTAACTACAGAAAATCTTTCGCTCTTATAAATTAAGTATTGAATCCACTTCACACTGGTTCGCCGCCAGCACCTACAATTACTGAAGCTCCACTATTAGCTGACGGAGGCGCTGTCCCTGGAGGATAGGATAATTTCTCCATATCTCCTAAGAAAGCTTCTGGAACAAGCAGATGTGTCCCACCAACAATAATATCCCACTGCTTACCAGAGGCAGTATTCATTACTTCATAAGCGCAACGCATTTCTGAATAGGATATTCCACCGATCACAAAAAGATCAATCTAGGCCCAGAACGCGGTTGTTGACTTTTATCACGATGCCACATCCCATATCTTGCAGATATTGGTGCATTGCCTGTTCGCGTACCAGGACCACGAACAGGACCACCACCAAAGTACTGGAATGATTTCTGATCTAATTTGTCTTCAGCAGCATCCTTAGTTAAGTTTTTTTTTTCAAGAGTGAAAAATCCATTTAGTAATGATAAAAAATTGCCACAAATAATCAGTAAAAATAAATTAGAAAAACTCACCTAAACCATAACCTTTAATCCTTACTACTCCCCAACCGATCGAGGACTATGACAAAAACATATCTCTTGTCTTATTCATTAAAAGTCGAACGGTTTATCCACTTATATAATCTTTTACTTTCAACTATGCCGTGTGGAAACATGTATTTGATCACTAAGAATGCCAGAGACCAATAATCAGTTTAGTAAGAACTGATGCTTGAAGATGAAAGTAAAAAACCCAGTCACACTGGCATAGTCTAAATAATGACTTCCGCATAGTGACTTTACACTGTAGTACAAATGAGTAACATCTAACTATCCGCTTTTCATTGTTCAAGCTACGTGAGTACGTCTCGTTCCAAGATGGAATTCATATCGGGCTAACGATCGGAACTAAAGTAAGACTAACAAAATAAGTGTTATCAACTTTGACTCTGAGATATAATTCATATCTTTTTTTCAGTCTCAATAATAATCCTTATAATATCCCTTGAGTCCACACTAAAAGATCTAACTAATGAATCATTAAACTACAATAAGCAATGATGGTAGTAATAATCTTATTACCAATTAAATTACCTCCATAAGATCTTTAATGTATGGTGTCCAACGAGACATTTGATACCGAGGGCCATCTTCACGCTGACGTCGATTTGCGGGTAAATAGGGCTGAGGAAGTTTCCTTCTACCAATCCCCTACAAAAAAATTCAGTTTTTATTAAGTAATAGTTGTAAGGACATAATAAAATTTTAGAAACTAGGAAATTTACTAAAGCAAACGTTAACAAGTTGCATGTTAGCACTAAATTATGTAGTCATTATTATCTAAATATCCGAGAGAAATCTTTTTTCTCATTACTCGCCGGTTAACATGTCTGAGAGGAGACTACTAACTTATCAATGGACCTATTTATACAATATTATAACACTTATTACACAACTTTTATGGATATATAACTATCTAAAAACATTACTAACTTACTAATCGCCAATTACTTATAATCTCGAATTAAACAAAACATGACTTTGTACAATTATTAGAGGGGAGGTGGGTCAGTTTTAACCAGCAAACCCTTCTAACATATAGATAAGGAAGACGAAACCTCCACAACCAAACCTATCAAATAAAACCAAGTTGGATAAGAATCGAGGTCGAAACTCATTCAGCAACCTTTTTCATATTCGTGCAGTAAGCAGTGACCTACACTTAATGTGTGAGGGCCAATGATACCATATGGCTGCATAAACCTCAGTAGATAAAGCGGTGTCTGAGCCAACAACCCATTGGTTGAAAGTCAACTGCCTAAACTAATGAGCCATAACTCCACCTGGATAAGAATAGAATTAAGACACTTTCAAGTCAAAGAAAACGTTAACAAATAATCGTAACTGGGTCAAAGAATTGGTCTTCAGCAAATACATACTTCGTGGAGTAGTGAAACAACATGTCATCAACTGATACAGTAAATTTATCCCACCCTTACTGCTCAGCCAAAATGAATGTTCGGTTTGAAAATTAAGGTAACACAACAGGCCTAAGCATTTCAATCGGTGAACACTCATAAGAAAAGGAACATTTCTCACTAACTACCTCAGTATCCAAAGATTGAGTGCGCGGGCGATACTGAGTGAATTCAATTCAGTAAACAAGCATAGATTTGTCAGTTAGCTTTTGGGTCACTCCTAGTGTACTATAGGTCCAGTGGTTAGTTTAAGGAGTGAGTTCTTAATTTTGACTGCAGATTATTTGTAAACTGTTTCGTTGGTTCGTGCTGATTCTTTCTTATAATTGACTCGGCGATTTTCATCCCACGAAAACGCTACAGACGAAAGTTGCATTTATTATCATTTAGGCTTCAATCCTTAGTCACAGTAACGCCTAGATAATGAACCAAAATAGTTTTGTTTTCAACTTTTAGGGTTTTGCGTGTAAAATTGGCTGAGGTCTAATGATCGCTGTTATAGATTCAACAGACTGACTACTCGTTACTTGGAAATCTGACGATAACGGACAGATAAAATCAACACGGAACCTCGCATAGAAGTGAATATCCTTAGTCTGCCTTGGTAATGTTTTTGCATTTAAGTGGCTGTTCTTACTCATTAATGCCTATTTTTGTTGTTCTCGTCTGATTCTTGAGAATAAACACTATTGAAAACATGATCAGTCAACGAGCATTCAGCCCCGTCTTCCGATTACATTTAGCTTGGGCCGCGAATAGTCAGAGCTGATCATAGTGAATAAATAGCGCCAAAAGCATGAGATAAAGCAACCAATTCGACCACCAGCTTAACGTATATTTACCCTCGACATAAATCCAGTACATCTGCACACATATAACAGTTACTGTTACAATACTATCGCTAATCATGACAGCAATATAATGATGTACGTTAGAAACATTAATTCGATTCAGAATGCATTTTAATGTGCTGTAATTAGTCACGAAAAATTTGAAATAAAATCCCAAACTAAAATCAATGCAAAAAATAAAAATTATAAGGGAAGAAATAAACGAAGAATAAAGAAAAATGGAAAAGTCGACATTATCGAATTGGAACTTGGCATTATTACATAGCAACGATGCAAGTTAGCATACCTATGAGTAGAACATCAAGATAAAAGCTAATAAGATGACAAAGAAACGTAAATATCTGAATTATTCAGATACCATAAGACAAAGACCGATAGTTTTGTAAACTGTTTGTCAAGACACTGACTTTGCTGCGGTGTGTTTATTTTAAACACTCGTATTTTAAGAGAACATTCTCGAAAACACTGTAGTTTAACCTAAATGTAAGTTTCATATTCATGTATACATGTTCAGTGGACGTATCGTTACTGTCTCGAGACCTTGATCAATATAAATAACTAATAATAACAGTATTATACCTGCTACTTTGTAACGTGTTTCATTCATTCCCGTAGATAGCAGTGGTGATATTTTCTTAAAAATCAGTTATTCTTGTGATTCACATTTGATGAGAATAGCAATTTTTTAAACCGCGCGTTAATATGCGCACATAATTTGAAAATTGTGCACCCACATATGACTGTGAAACATGGCCACTAACAGTAGAGGAAATGAGGATTAGAGTTTTTGACCACTATTGCCTCCGTAGCATAGGTCGTGCGTTGTGGTGTTACTATATGAGTAACGTAGAAGTCAGGTGCAGATTTTTAGGGAGGAGATGAAACTCAGTTGATGCGGCTGTAAATCTTCACCGACTGAGGTGACTAGGACATGTGTTACGCACAGCTAATTACCGTCTGCCTCGTCGTGTTATATTGGTTGAAGTATGTTCAGGTTGGAAAAAGGCTCGGCGCAGACAGACTAAAACATGGCATGAGTGCATAAGGTCCTTGACTGTTGGTCTAAGCCATGTAGGGCAATGCTGACTCGGCGTTTGGGGGTCCACGTAACAACGAGAACCAGCGGTTGAAAACTAAGCTATATGGCTCAGAATCGATGACCTTAGCGTAGATGTATCCACACTTCAACTTCATCTTAACAGCTATACTGAATTCAGTATTTTCTAATTCCTCCTTCCTCCCTTTTACTACTTTATATTGCGTTTGAACGAGTCTTCTTTATTGCGTTTTTTCATATGATTGCTTCGTTACTCGATGTCTTGATATGAGGTGTGAAAACTTGGATCGTTAAGCAGTAATGCTTGGACATATGTTGATACTGATTGGTTGGGTTCACAAGTAACTCGATAGGTCACCTTGGCAATCACTGAAATAACTAGTTAGGTTTCTTCATTTGTTAGATAGATTGCCTTCTTCATAAAACTAAGAAACCTAATTAGTTATTTCAGTGATTGCTTGAATGACCTTTAGAGTCATCCCAGTTTGTGCTTTGGCGATCTATTCAAATCAGTTGTTCGATCTGAAGCGATGTGTACTTTTGTTTGTATAAAAAGTTGTCTGGAGATATGTTACGATGTGCAGTTATACTAGGTTCTAGATGTGGTCTTGTTGTAATGTTAAAAGAATCACGAGTCCCTGAACGAATGACTTCTCTAACGCCAAAGTAGCTTCGAAATGCAAGTTTACATCAACCGAGCAGAAAATGAGTACAACTCGTTTGTTTATGTACAAAAAAAGCCTTTGAGACATACAAATGAAATGGTACGATGAAAGAAGAAAAATTGATAAGGAAGCTTACTATACACAGGTGGGAAACGGTGTCAAGAAAAGAAATCCCAAATTTAAAATTCAGTTTTACCAGACTTGAGCAAAGAGAGTTAATTTTTAAGGATTGAAAATTCCAAACACGGAATTTGGTGCCAAACGGAAGGATTTACCTTTCTTTGTTTACACGGCTGTGATCCGATTACAGAGAGACATGAAAATCAGCGTCGGTAGCTTTTAGGTACCGATGTTCATAAGCTGTAGCAAAATAAACTGTATTCCAATTAAGATCTCCTAGCGATTTTCCTTTGAAGTGACAGCAAACTGTCAAGATTGATTTAATCATCAGTGCAATATCAAATCAAAGTTTGTAAACTTGTGACTTTATCTTCCAATCGAAATTTGGACCTGAACAATAATTAACTTAATGGTGAACGCGTAACGCCTGACTGATTATTTAAAAATTCTGCGATCCATGTACACATTATAGAGTTCTTTAAAAATACTATTCTCATTTAATATGAATCATAAGAATAACTGATTTTTAAGAAAATATCACCACTGCTATCTACGGGAATGAATGAAACACGTTACAAAGTAGCAGGTATAATACTGTTATTATTAGTTATTTATATTGATCAAGGTCTTGAGACAGTAACGATGCGTCCACTGAACATGTATACATGAATACGAAACTTATATTTAGGTTAAACCAGTGTTTTCGAGAACGTTGTTTTAAAATACGAGTCAAAGTTTACACAAGCAATAGATAGAGTTATCAGTATCTATACACTGTTAGCTAATAGCTAATAAAGGTGCTTCATTGTTTACCTGTGGTATATTTCTTTAAAAAGAAATGATCGCGTCCTTGTGTGTTCATAATAACACAATAATTTATAAATGCTTATCTCATTAAGTTTCTGAACCCGAAATATTGAGGGAAAAATAGATACCGAGTTAAGAAATCAAAACTAGTTAGGCAAGTCTAATGACAATATTCACGTTAATAACGTGAAAACCATGCTTTAAGATAAATCAAATGGAGTAGTAGATGTTGTCAAAGAAGAAAATGCAACCGACAATAGTGTATTACAGAATCTCACAATGTGGTTCTCATTGGAAGACAATCCCTTGTTCTGCATCTCAATCTGCACTATTCTTTTGATGTTGTTATATACACTACTTACACGCAATCCTTTAAGTAGGTTTTACTACATAATATGTACACTATTGTGTCGTCAGTGGTAACACAGTGATATAACTATCAACAACAAAAATTTAAACAGCGTAATGAGAAGACGAAGATTATCTGAAACATGTGATGTATTAGCACTATACATTTTGAACAATCTGATCATACATGAACTTGTCGAACTATTTATATGAGAATTTAAGAAAAAGGATAATGAAGTTAATAGGAAACATAGGAATAGGAAGGGTGAAGAAAAAGAAAAAAGAGCTAATCACGTAACTCTTGGTATGAAAATTAAAATCAATACTGCCAAGGTAGGTTCAACCTGAGTAAAAATTGTTTTTGTATACATAAAGGGGTTTAAAGTTACGGATGGCAAGAGCTTCAATAAATTTAAGCACTTGGTCTTGACTACTTTTATGTAGTACTTTAAACGCTGTTTTCATGTCTATCCTATGGTTAGTTTCTAGTATATGTTAAGCGATAGACGAAGATGGATTTTTATCACCTGCACTTATCGGATTTGTTGAGGTCATTTGTCTTTGTAGCCACTTAGGTACATGTTCAAATAAATAGTTCAACGAGTCCATGTATAACCAGATTGTTCGAAATGTACAGCGCTAATACATCACAAGTTTCAGATAATCTTCGTCTTCTCATTACTATTATTATTATTACTATCATTGTTATTATTTGTCCCTTGAGTTCCTAATGGAACATAGCGATTCACTAACATGTCTCCATTCCACTCTCTTCTCTGCAGTCTCTTCAACCTGGCTCCACGACTGCCTGGATGCTTTCATTTCTTCCTCCAACAACCTCCTCCATGTCACCCTCACCTCGGACGCCCAACTCGTCGTTCCCCATCTGGGTTCCACTCGAGGGCATGGCCTGTCCCCAGTCGGCCTTCTCAGTATATGCCCAATCCATCTCCTCTTCCTTCTGCATATTTGTTCAGCGATACGTTCTTGCTTCGTTGATTCATTGCCAGCCAAAGTGAGTTCCTTGTTGCTTATTCCTTCTGGCAATCCATCTGATCTTCAGTAACGAGCTAGCGTAGGCTGTAGCTGTTGACGAATGTCTGTAATTTGTTGGAAATCCCTTTCGTAACCCGCCAAGTCTCTGAACCATATAGCAGCACTGACTTGACATTAGTACTGAAAATCCGGATCGTGTTAACGCTTTACGCTGAGTGCAGATCTCCACACTGGTTTCAGGTTAATGAACGCTTGTCTTGCTTTCCCGATCCTGGCTTTGACGTCCTAATCTGTGCCGCCTGTAGTCGAAACAGTGCTGCCTACATAGGTGAAAGAGGCTTCTTCCTTTACGTTTCTCCCGTTTATGGTGATTGCAGATTGTTGCTATTGTTGTTGGTGGCATTGGTTGGGTATCTTCATCACCTCGGTCTTCTCTACGTTCACTTGAAGCACCGTCTTCGCTACCCCACCTCTTCTGTCAACTTGTTAGTTTTAGTCTATAGATCCTTGAGCTTGTGCGAGATTAGACATAAATCATCATCGTTGGCGAAATCCAAATCTTCTACTGGGATCTTTTCATCGGTCCAGCCAACGTATGCCCCTCTTCTCACAGCTCCTCACAGTTGTCTGTTACATGATCCATTCGACCACAATCAGGAAGATCATCGGTGATAGTAGGTGGAAATCTTGTCTTACTCCTTCCTGTCTTCACTCCTAAGGTGTCACTCAGCTTCCCACTGTGAACCACTTGACATGTGGCGTCGTCATATAGTTGTTGAATGAGATTGATAAAGGTTTGTGGTATTCCGTAGTGTTGAAGTGGTAGCTGCCAAATTACTTCTCGGTCGACGCTGTCGAGGGCATTTTCGAAGTCAATGAAGTTGAGGTAGAGGTTGACCGCTATTCTATATACTCTGTTCTTTGATGATGCAAAGCGTTGCAATTTGATCCGTACATGATTTGTTTTCCCTGAATCCAGATAGCCCTTTCTCGGTTGTAATTTTGAATCGAGAGCATCTTACAGTCTCTCCAGGATGATGCAGCTTAATATTTTGCTTGGTGTGGACAGGAGCATGATTCCTCACCAATTCTTGAAAAGACTTAGATGTTCATTCTTTGGGACTTAGACAAGATAACCCTTCTTCCAATCATCGGACAGGTACCTTTACTTCCTTCCAAACCTTCTGCAATAGTAGTGTGAGCATATCCTCTGATATCCATGGGTCTGTTTTCAGTGCTTCTGGTGGGATTTCATCTGGTCTTGCTGCTTTCCCGCATTTCAGTAGCCCTATAGTGTTCAGGACTTCAACTTTCATCGGAGGGCTTGTGTTCACTGGTGATTCTGTGGCTGGGCTCCTGGTGGTATTTCTGGACGAGTTGCAGGAGGTGGTGGTGGTGGTGGCGATGGTGGTCGATTTAAGAGCTTTTTGAAATGGTCAGCCTATTGTTCCCTTTCTTTCTCCTCTCTGCTAGCTGGCTTTCATTCAATATCTTTCACTGGTTTCATCTATGTTGATCCCTTCCTTCCTAATATGGTCATGCAGGTTTCTTTCCACATCTCTTTCAAAGAGTCCCAGTGTTCATCCACACAGATGTCTTCAGGGATGCTGCTCAATGTCTTCCATTTTGTCCTGATGGCTGGCTGACGTGAAGATGTCCCCTGCAGTTTCGTCCTTCAGTTTCTGTTCTGAGTGTTGGACTTGAATTGTGGTCTATGACCAACTTCTTTGAAGGCTTTCAACATGATTTGGAAGGTAGGTTCCTTGCACTAGACAGTGAGTGGTGTGAACCCACATCTGCCCCTCTTCTTCATCTCATCTTGTGTCGAGTAAGCTGCGTCTCCACTTTCTTCACATCTAGATGAAATCGATCTGATTTTTAGTGTGTCCTGGAGTCTGGTGAAATCTATGTCAGTCGCTTTGTGAATATCCTTGTGTTTGTACACACTGCCTCGCCTCCAATCACCAAATCGTCGAATGCGCAGAAATCTGTAAACAGTTCTCCCTTCTCATTCATTTCATCGAGCGCTTCTCGACCCATGATGACTTCTCTTCATGTGTTGTCCACTCCCAGTTTGGCATTCATGTCACACCACCCATTAAAATGAATTTTGATATTGCCAACTGAGGTCTTGTCCAGTGCTGATTGCAGCTGTCTGTAGAACTCCTCCTTCTCCGCCTCATCTGCATTATTTGTAGTTGCTTAGTGTAGCGTAGCATTGAATGATTGTCACTTTCCTTCCTTTTCAGTTGAATCTTGTTGTCATGATCCGGATTGTGGAGGAGGAGATTGGTTCCCACTGCATGAGAGTGAGCCTTCGATGCTCTTCAAGGGGACATCATGATAGCCACTCCTCAACTCAGTGTGCTCGTGGTTGTCATCTGGGTGACAATATCGGAGTAGATTATTGATTCCTCTCCAGTTGACAGTTTGGAGAGTCCACTTCCATTCCGTCTGCCTTCGCAGATTCCAAGCACTCCCTTGCCATAACTTCTCATCTCTTTGGCAATCTGGGCAGCCTTGGTAGGTTCAAACATTGTGCAGATATTCTGTCCCCATCCTTACTTTTGCCTTCATCAAGAGAGAGAAGACACATCGGCCAACTGACTTCCCGAAGGCAGGCTTTCACCAACCGGTGTCATTTCGTCTCTCCGATTCCAGTGAGGAACAAGTTTATTTTATTTTTTATATTTACTTTGTGCTTTTAAGTTTGTTTAGCGGTTAGATTGGTTTTTACGGGGTGGGGCTGCTAGTCCTATGTCCAACCTTTCCTCTTTATCCGGGTTTAGGACCGGCTAGTAACTAGTGAACTAGTTAACCAGGCAAGGTATTCTCATCACGCTGTTTAAATTTATGAAAGGGACTAGTTGCTTTAAACACCAAAAGATAGTTTCATTCGTACAGTACCATACACCTTATGTCAGCTATGTACTCAGATGTCCAATTTAAATTGACGAAACTGTTTAAATTGTATGAATTTGACTGGCCAAACTAGATACAAAGAAATCAGAGGGAGTTACTTAGAAATTACTGCGGAATGGAATAATCCCCGTTGATAAACTAAATGCAGCGCAGTATCTATCTGTTTATGTAGTTCAGGGTCACTAATTTGATCAATTTACCTCGATACATTTACCCACTAAAAGATGTGACCTGAGTTGTATGGTCCTGAACAACGAATGTGAAAAAAAGTGCAATCTGCAAATTTTTCACCAGATCAAATGAGTCTGAGCCCAATTGATTAGAAAAATAAGCAGGCAGAAATATTAAACACACATTTTATACTTAAATAAAATGACTACATAAAGTCTCACCTTAAGATAGCCAATCTACGTAGTACAGCATCAATATATATATATATATATATATATATATATGGATTTTATACCTAAGCGGAAATTCATATAGTACTTAAAGTATCTTTTAAAAATACCTTAAAGTATAACAGTCAGTTTTCAATCTCTTATCATTTCTATGAAGATACCAACCATTGTAAACAAAGAATCAATTATTTTCACGACGCCTAGTTTGAATGACAAACACAAGCAATCTTCTTGGTTGTATTGTGTTCTCTGAGCTCAGAGAACACAATACAACCAAGACCAGCCAAATGAGCTACAAATATTCTCCACTGTTTCAAAATTATACAAGCTATCTTATACGAATGACACCAAATAACTGCGAAAGAAAACAAACGACAGAACCCTGCCAATCGAAGTTCAGAGTAAAGCAATTAATCAACAGGGCGTATATGTGACCTCAAAAAAAGATCAGCCAGTCAGTCAATATCGATATTAGACCTGAAATTACTGTGTAACGGTTTAAACAACCACATAAGTACATGAAAGATGTAAGACATTATTCTCTCTCGAAAACATAAATTACTTAGGCATTAAATTATACAAAGGTATGACAAACGATTTGTAAGTTAAGCATTAAAGTTATCATCATATAGTAAGTACTACCCTTTCGCAAAGATCGAAATTTATCCGTTGGCCATATAGATAAAGGTGAATATTCAAATCTTTTGTTTACAAAAAACTGTAAAACATGAATAGAATACAACAATTAAAAGCCTTAGTTACAAATTAAGCTCGTATGCAGCTGATATAGATGAACTTATTTTATACATCCTTACCAATTTTCTCAGCAACTGAATACAAAGCTACAACACTACTAATAAGGAATAGTCACAAACATATATGGAAATAAATTATGGAGTACACAAAACTACTTACAGCGCCAGAAGCATCCTGAATAGCTGGAACTCCTAAATGCACCAAATTACGTATAATGCAGGCTTGTGATGAAGGGATCTGAGCATGTTGAACTAATTTGGCTAGATTCTCCTCATTTATACCACCACGTTGTACAACATATAAAAGAATTACACGCAGCTTATCATAGGCTGAAACTGACTGGTCAATTAAAATGGGAACCATAGTACGCATATGATCTTTAACACGTTCACCTTCCGCATCAGTACCCATAGCTAAATCCTGAAAAAGAATTGTTTAAAACATACATGATAGGTTCCGTGGTCTGAAATGAAGTAGGTCAAATGACGTTATATATGTCAACTCACATAAAGGATGCCCAGCAAACAGACAGACAGATACACAAGACCAACATAGAACCAGGCATTACTGCGTAGCGACCTAAGTTGCGACACCTCACTCATATCAGCAAATCAAGCGAGAAAGCACTGAGATCCATTGCCTTATCCCAGCTGCAGTCAGTGGGTGTGAAAACAGATCACAAAGAGATAACGGGGAGTTTTACTATTTTTTTTTAGTGTGTTCAATCAAATAGCCCATAGGTGACTGTCAAATGGAATCCAGTCGAGTTCACTTCCTGCCTAAGCACCCGCAAGACTGCAAGAACTAGCCATACAATCCCCAGAAACTCGAAGAGTGAACTTCGCGGATTCAACATATTAACCAGGTGGGATTAATTAAATAACCGCACTCGGGGTCTGTATACATGTCTCGCAAACACAACTTACTACCATGATCTGAGATGCTAGAGTTTTTGCTAGCACTACTTGTTGGATCATTGTGATATACAAGTCCAATCAAGACGTCGAGATAGAAGCTATCGGTCACCTGTTTAACCAGTAAACAGGCAAAATGTCTACGGTACCAGCCGTACGAAAAGGGGTACGCGCATAAACTACCAGTGAATTGTGATTTCTTGTGAATGATAAGTGTCATTCTAATTACCTTTCTGAATAATAAAATTTCTTACAGCATACAGCCAAAGCTCATAAATTATTTTTCGAAATTCAAGATATTTGTATAGTTAACGTAATAATACCTCCGCTATACATCAGCTGCCCACTATGTACTTGAATAAAAGGGATATTTCACACCATTTTCGATCAAAATAAAGCTACGCAAGATTCGATCCTGTCAAACAGATATCGATGTTTTGTTATGCTCGGAGATATGTCATTGAATGTAATAACCATTTATTAAAAACAGTTTAACACAGACATTATTAAAAACAAACAATTGTTTGTCACCTCTAATCCTCTAGGTATTTATCGCACCTAACTGGTTCACACTAACATTTTAATGTAAATAAAGCAAATTTAACAACAGCTCATCTACTATTCCGATCATGCAACTAAATAGTTAGCAAATTCAGTATGGTGTTTTCAAAGTTCTTAGTGTTTTTTGTGATTCTCAAGTTATGACCTCTTCTAGTCCTCTGAACCGTCTAGGTCAAAGCTTCGCTTCACAGGGATTACAAGTAACCTCTAAAGTTTAGAATAAATGCTTAGAATAGTAACGAACTATACGATCGACCAATCATATCACAGACAAATTCCGACAGTATTAGAAATGAACATTCTTATTCAGAAGAAAAGGTAAGTAACATTATTAGTGAAGCAGCAATGTTAATACACAGACAGTCGCAAGTGTATGACTATACTGTCAATTTGAAGTACCAAGAGCAAACACCAATTAGTAGGAGAACTTAGTGAAATCGAGATATCCTGCTAGTTAAACACGATAACCTATACAACGGCAACTTTGTATAATTATCAAATAAGTAATAACGGATCAATAAACTATCCAATCCAATCTAAATAATTAATTGTACATACCAACATAGTTTTCTTGGAATGTTTTTTAAACTTACTTGTTCCACTTTACATAATTTATTAGCATGATTTTGATACGTTTGCATGCAGTCCTCAGCTAAATGGAAGTGTGTTGAATACATGGACAATTCTTTCTGATACTGAGGCATCTTTTTCAACATTTGACTTAAGTCACGCATTGTAGTCTTATCACCTGCGCTAACCATACGTTTGTCTTCAGCGAATTTTTTCAACTTGCCAGTTACCTATGAAAAGAACAATAAGAAATGACATTGTGGTTGGTGGTTTTAACATCAAACCGACCTTGCCAACTAAGTAACGCATAAGGAGCATAATACAAAACCAAGCTAACAACAATAGCCTTATCAATGATTGACTTTTCACTTTCGAAAAGCAAACACATTAGTAGAAAACTAAATCCATTCTTGGTCTGTCTAGTACTGAGCACCACCACAAGAGGAATAGGAAGTATCTATCGAAGGTGCTAGATGATTTTCAAAACAAGATTAGGCAATTTCCCATGTAAGACTTCAGCAATCAAACAAATAAATTACTAATAGCTCAGAACAGCATAACGATCGGAGTACCGAGTGAACGAAAGTACCACAACCCTTATGGGATACTAAAAGACTAAGAATAAAATACCGAGCCAAATGAGAAGTGCATTATTTTGTACGAACAACATAGACTTCATGCAGCTGCTTCAAGTTTCCAACCAGTGACTTCAACTCTTTCTTGCGTCACTATCAGAGCTTGCCGAGCATACACTCATCACATCTCGCATTAACAGTGAGAGACTGAATGTACTAGTGGTCTAGCTTGGGTCAACTACTCTAAAAACCCGTCTTATCCTGCTTTTACAACTGTTATGGTAGAATGTCCAGGATACCCTTATCTACAACTTCAAACTCAAAATTCGAGATCCTTCACATGATAAAATCTTATCACATCAGTGGTACTCCGAAGGAAAATAATGACTGAGCGCTTAAGATTTTCTCGGGATATTGAAATACAACCACCAAACCGTATTGCTGTTCCATTGTGCGAGTCAACTCATATCTTGGTAAGTATAAAAACTTAGGAGGGAGAAGTGTCTTACATATTTCCTATAAAACTACCAACCAGTAAGCTGAGTTAGGATAAAAACGAGATCAACGACCTCAAATGGAATCAAAAGTCTGTATACATTGTTTAGACGATATACAAACCCACAGTATAGCTAGTCCGTGTATGAAGAAAACATCTAACATGGAACCTTGACTTTTCTTAGCACTGCTAAGAAATTATGATTCAAAAGGTAAGAAAAATATAGAAATTCGCACAAAAATGCATGGGATCTTTTGCTATAGTGACTAGCACCATAAAACAGCTTGAGATAGGCAAATGAACAGTAGTAACGAATTCTTCAAGAGATATAAGTAACTAACTACAACAAGGACATGAACAGTGGTGCTTTAAAATCGGTGGTTAACAAAGAGATCCCTACTTTTGGGTACATTCAATGAAAATTTAAAAAGAGCTCTATTACTTAAATAGGTACGCTGGTGATACATTTGTCTGGTGAAATGATATAAATTGTTCAGTGCACCTGTTCGAAATATTTAAAAGGAAACATGAGATGAAGAACTGTCTTCAATTTCTGGATTCCAGTCTTCGGTGAGGGGAAAATGGATCTCGCCTGAAGTGCACACCACTCCCGTCTTCATACCTTCTGCTACATCAGGTATAAGCAAGAAATAATCGAAACGCTATTTCGTAAAGATACGAAAACTATTCTCATTACACAAAAAACTGAAGATATTGAGTCCATTGGATGGGTGAAACAAAATGATTCGCAGAAGTGAATGTCACAGCGACAATAAAAAAGCAGTTGGACGTAACAATCTAGAGAAGAAAGCTGTTTCTCTGCTTTGCTCTTAAGAAGGTATAATGACGAACAATGTGAGTCAGCAAGTTCTCGTCCTAGCAGCTAAATTGGTTTCTTGATGCCGACTGATAAAATCAACGTAGAACCTTGCATATAAGTGCATCGGCTGAAATTGCCACACTTCACAATAGTACACAAAGAACAGGTCGATAGAAAATGACTGATATCAAAGTAGACAAGGTAGTGTGAGAGAATAAACAATCTGAAGATAAATGTTAGTGTAAATATTCAACTTTTAGATGTCAAATAGTGAACACACACCTACGCTACTGAGACTGATTTTCAGCTGTGTCACCAAGAGTCCTCAACCACTGATTCCTTTCATCTCTCCGACCCAAACCAGACAATCTACATCTCCTAACAAGGCTCAGACCAACAGTATGGGACTTCATGGACTGGCTCCACGTCTTCATCTGGCCACCCTGAACCCTCTTCCAATCTAATCCAACATCTCCTAGCATGATATATCGAGGTAGCTGTTGGTTTGGCATGCGCAACACATGTCTACGCCACCTCAGTCGATGCAGGTTCACAACCTCACCAATCGACTTGCCTAGTACCCTTCGCCTGACCTCAACATTACTCATATGATGATTCGACAGGACGCAAGCAATGCTGTAAAGACATCTATGATCAAAAACCTGTAACCGTTTCATATCTTCTACTTTCGACAGTGATGTCTCACAGCCGTATAACAGGATATGAAGGACTGCAGCGCAGTACACCCATCCTTAAATTGTTAGTTGGACATCTTGCTAGTCGGCGCCACAGAAAATGCAAGTTGGCAAATGTCAAACGGGCCTTCTCTACCTGAGCTGAGATTTCGTTACAACGAGCCCGTTCGAGCTGATGCAACTCCGCAAGCGAGTGAGGTGGTCGACATATCCCACCACTTCACTTCGTAGTTGCAGACCAGTCCTGTTTCATAATGCAAAACAAAACGTGTATTACAGCAATCAGAAGGTCACAGATACCCAGCTCATATCCAGGTTAGACTGCATCTAACAACTCACTTTGACTCGTGAGAGCACAAACTGGAAGGTGGGGTAGGCGGCTATCGTTTGATTTAGTGAACAAATCTTAAATAGGTTATTTATTTAGGGCTCAAATAGTCTTTAAAATCCTATCGCAAAACTTTTGGTGGATACAGAACATGACATTTCGTGACTCGAATGCCTTCAACATAATTTACAAGCACAATAATTTTAATTTGTTTAGATTTGCAGAAAAAATTTCTATCGGGAGAGTTAAAAGAAAAAAAGGCAGATGTTAACCTCGAACTCTCGCCCTCTTTTTACATTGTGCAATAAGTGATCACGTAATCGATTTATGTTTTACTACAACGATATTAATATTTTACTCTAACTGACTCTACCTTCACCTATTTCAAAATTGTGTCCGTATTATTAATTCGTTTTCGACTTATTGAATGCACCACAATTTGACAATGAAATATTCTACTGCTGAACAACTTGAGTAGTAAGAAACCACTCAGGCTGATCTGTAGTATTTCGCCAGCCACATCAGAGTGATCTACACACCAGACGGCCGTTTCACTTGTTCGGGGACGAGCCAGCTCCTCAGTGGTTTAGCCAGATAAATTCAGCCCACAGACCCAAATTAGTTCAGATCACCAGAATCTAGTTAGCTGACTTGTATGAACCGGTATGCCTAAAGTAGGATGATCAATTTGTAAATCATTTGCGAATCGAACGGTCGCACGCTGAGTAGTTTTCCAACTGTCTAACTATGGTGTCAACAGGGTTTCCGCTGGAAACCACTCAGTTGAGATCATAAGCTGTGGCCTCTAGCATGAAAGTGTCATGAACTAGCGAAAGATATTATTAATATTATTATTATCAGTCCCTTGGGTTCCTAGTGAAACACAGGGCTTCAGTAGCACGTCTCCAGTGAACTCTGTTCTCTGAGATCTTTTGAACCTCGTTCCACGACAGCCCAGAAGCTCTCATTTCCTCCTCGCACGATCTCCTCCATGTCACCCTCACCACGGACACCCAACTCGTCGCTTCCCATGGGGATTCCACTCGAGTGACTGGCCTGACGCGTGATGTCCCCAGTCGGCCTTCTCAGTGCATGCCCAATCCATCTCCACTTCCTCCTGCATATTTGTTGGGTGATAGGTTCTTGGTTGGTTCGTTCCCAGAGCTCCTTGTTGTTTATTCCTATTGTTCTGGCCATCTGATCTTCAGTAGCGAGCCAGCGTAAGCAGTTGTTGATGAATGTCTGTAGTTTATTGGAAATCCCTTTTGTAACGCGCCAAGTCTCTCAACCATCACACAGAAGCACTGACTTGACGTTGGTGTTGAAAATCCGGATCTTGTTCCACATGCTGAGTACAGTGTAGAAGATCTCCACACTGGTTTCAGGCTAATGAACACCTGTCTTGCTTTTCCAATTCTGACTTTGACATCCTCGTCTATGCCACCGCCTGTAGTTGAAAAAGTGCTTCCTAGATAGGTGAAGGAGGTTACTTCCTTTAAGTTTCTCCCGTTGATGGTGACTGGAGTTTGTTGTTGTTGTTTTGGTGCGGTATCTTCATCACCTCTGTCTCCTCTATATTCACTTGAAGTCCCGTCTTCGCTGCCCTGCCCGCCCGCCTCTTCTGTCAACTTCTTAGTTTTCGCCTGTAGATCTTCAAGTTTGTGTGACATCAGACACAAGTCATTGGCGAAATCCAAGTCTTCTAGGTTCTTTTCCGCAGTCCAGCCAGCGTATCCCCCTCTTCTTGCTCCCCACTGTTTGTTGCATGATCCAGTCCACCACAATCAGGAATATCATGGGGGATAGTAGGCAACCTTGTTTCACTCCCATCTTCACTTCAAAAGCATCACTGAGCTACCCATTGTGAATTACTTGGCTGGCATAAGGGGGTTTTCATATAGTTGTTGAATGAGGCTGATAAAGGTTTGCGGTACTCCGTAGTAATGAAGCAGTTTCCAAATTACCTCTCCGTCGACGCTGTCAAAGGCCTTCTCAAAACCGATAAAGTTGAAGTAGAGAGCTGATTGCCATTCTATGCTCTGTTCTATGATGATGCGAAGCGTTGCAATTCGATTCGCACATGATTGGTACTTCCTGAAGCCTGCCTGTTCGGTCGTAGTTTTGAATCCAGTGCATCCTTAAGCCTCTCCAGGATGATGAGGCTTAATATTTTGCTTGGAGTGGACAGGAGAGTGATTCCGCGCCAGTTCTTGCAAACACTGAGGTCTCCCTTCTTCGGCAGTTTGACAAGGTAACCCTTCTTCCAATCGCCAGGTACCTTCTCTTCCTTCCACACCTTCTAGCGAAAGATACTACTACTGAACAAATTGATTAGTTAGAAACCACTCAGGCTGATCTGTAGCATATGCAGTTGAAACACTGTTGACACCACAGCTGGGCAGTTGAAAAAACTAGTCAGTTGTGGGAAATGTCAGCGTGGACAATGAAGTTTGCAAATCATCTGCAAAGTGACTATGAAGTATTTGATAATTATTATCGCACTTAGTAATTTCTTCTACTCCAATTTTTTAATTAGTACTATTTCACTCCTTATTAATCAATCATCAACCGACTTTCTCCAAGTTCCTAGCATATGTAAATTCTTCTTACACCTATAGGATCTTATTACAGTTTTGAGTCCGTACATGGATGACAAAAAAGGTGAAAAGGAGCAATGAATGCATCAGCAAAATCTGTTGCTCTTTCTCTAAGTGAAATTTGTTCATCTGAGAATGAAAATGAGGTCAGCATCTACCGAAAATGAGTAAATATAGTTTAATTCACTGGAAACTGACCCTTTGGTACAAAGAAACTCAGTGACAGCACAATTCAAACACACAGATAAACAACAACAGTTTAAGTAACGAAGACCCATAAAACCGAGTGTCCTAGCTCACACAAACAGTACAAAAATGTCTAGTGTGGCAAGTATGTGCCTTGGTGACTGTGATACAGTACGTGAATGTTCTTAACTTACTAGTAAATTTTTTAGGCATACAACTTTTCAGAAGTGGATCATAGGCGTAAACCTCGATTCGCCCATAAAGATTAGCCCTTGAATAATGGCTGTTATCTACAGTTTAGTTCATGAGTCTTCAAGAGTTTGCGTGGTTGTATTCTTATTCCTTAGACGTCAAGTATTTTTGATGTATCTATAGTTCGGTTCTAAGAAGGGTCTTCCGTAATAATAGTATAATAAGAAGTCGATTAAAGGCATAATTTGACAGATTATCAACATTAGTAAATTGACCTGCACGTTTTTATATTAACCGAATCCAAAGTTATGTACCTGTTGTGAAACAACTGCAATGTGTTGATGACGAAGCTCACACCACAGTTCATCAGATTCGTCCAAGATAATTTCTTTAACACGTTCCTCCGGACCTGATGTATTGATGTAACTGTAATAAGATAATTTATAAGCTACTTATAAATCATAGGAAATCATAAATAGCGACAACTGTATTAAAATTTAAATGTAACCAATACAACTTCATTCAAGTATAATAATTAATAGCTCAAAACCATAGAACATTTTAGTGATAGAATCAACTAGCAATCACCACGGATGCATCAATCTTCAACTGAGTCGAATATAAACCAACTGACCGAATATCCCAATAGGCAGTTGCTGTCCTGACGTCCTGGTGAGGCTTGTCCATAGCAATGACCAATGAGCTATGCTGGCTAGAATGGATGTTCACTGAGGTCTTACCGCCCCAGAAGCGGTTGTTGGATATTGATAAAAAATAAAGTAGTTACCATCATAGCATGAACAGCTGATGCCAAGGTCTGAAGGTTGTTGTGGACGGGATAGCAACAAGATGTTTCCCGCGCACAACCAAGTTTCTAGGAAACAGCACTATCTTTTTCACCCTATACGATTCCCGTGCTTACAGTAAGAGATTCTTTTTAAGCATATAAGCAGCAGACTTAAGTTCACACTAAAAACTCCCAAAAGGCCGAGTGTGATTGACCTTAGGTAGATAATCTTTGGGTTTTGCCATCACACTTAGACTGATAAGGTTATCCTAATTAACCTATCTTCTTTCTCAGGTACATAAAGAAGCTCTGAGGTAAGACGTTGGTTGAAGTGGGTCTAAGCTGCAAAACCATGAAATGCAGCCAGACCAAAACACCGCATCAGCTAATGAAGTCTCTGGTTGTTGGTTTGAGTCATCTTGGGAAATATATACTTCTAGGTTGGAGTGTGGCAACTGAAATCGATAGCTGGAGACTCCACGTAATATAACTCAAAATCAATAGCAGCGGTGCAGATGCATCCATACACTACCTGCGTCATAACTGAAATATCACATTTTCCCATTCTCTTTAACCCCACTTTCTCTCTTACTAAGGCTTCCTACGACTTCCGATTACATTATCTCTATTTCTTCGTTTTTCATCTCGCTTTGTATCCAGATGTCTTAGGGTGAAATACGGAGCGGAACGAAAAGGAACTCACTCAGCCACCTTGTGTACATCTATGCAATAGACAATGAGTCACACCTACTGTGTGACGGCTAGTGATACTACCTGACTGCCTGAACCTCTGTAAGTGGAGCGAGACTAGAACCCGTACGTCACTGGTTGATAACCATCGCCCTAAACCACTGAACTATAGCTCCACTGAAATGTGGCAACTTGGACGGTTACGCAGTTGTCGCATCCCACTTTGATTCTAGATGACTGGCTGGTTGACTTACAGCATTTTTAAGCAGTGCTGGCGATATCACCAGTAAACAGCCTGCTGACTTGACTTAACATTAGCCTCCCATATAGATAACCAAAGAGAAACTTGGATTACAATGTACCTAAAGATAAATCAGCGTTGATAGCCACTTTTCGTCTACGGTGTAAGTATAAAAAAGAAAGTTTGCAAAACCGTTGGATGCAGTTAATTCAGAAACTGAGTAGAGTCTCAAACTTGTCTTCATTTCCTATCATAAGCACGCCAAATGCTATGAACCGATTGAGGATAGTCCGAGTAACATAAAGGAGGTAGAAACTAATCAGGTTCCTGAAATAATAATGGCATGAGAACATACATGAATACTGCAGTAATAAATCTCACCTGTTATAAGCATACGGCACTCCCCGTTCAAAAAGATAGCCTAAATAAATATCAGTAATTTGTAACCACGAAATAACTCACATGCTTCAATCCACTTAAGTTTATTTGTAAATACCCAACTTCGAAGAATAATTCCAGCTAACGGAAGCCCATACTAATTATCTCCGTTCACTTTATTATTTATTATTATTTCCTAGTGGAACACAGGGCTTCAGTAGCACGTCATCATTTCACTCTCTTCTCTGCAGTCTTTTCAACCTGGCTTCACCACTGCCCACAAGCTTTCATTTCTTCCTCACACCATCTCCCCCGATGTCAACCTCACTTCGAACGCCCAACTCGTCGTTTCCCATTTGCGTTCCACTCGATGATCTGGCGCGTTATGTCCCCCGAACGGTCTTCTTAGTGCATACCCAATTCATCTCCACTTTCTTCTGCATATTTGTTGGGCGATAGGTTCTTGCCTTGTTGGTTCGTTGCCAGCCAGAGTTCGTTGTTGCTCATTTTTATTATTCTGGCCATCCATCTGATCGCCATCTTCAGTATCGAGTGAGCGTGGGTGGCAGCTGTTCATGTGCGATGTCTGCAGTTGTTTGTTGAAAATGCTTTTCGTAACGCGCCGCCAAGTCTCTCAACCATCACATAGAAGCGCTGACTTACTTGACTGACAAATCTTCTAGGCTCTTTTCATCGGTCAAACAGCGTATGCCCATCTTCTCGCTCCTCATGGTTTGCTTCATGATCCAGTCTACCACGATCAGGAAGATCATCGGTGATGATAGTAGATAGCCTTGTCTTACTCCTTCCTGTGTTCACTTCAAAGGCGTCACTGAGTTTTCCATTATGAATCACTTGACATGTGGCGTCGTCATATAGTTGTTGAATGCGGTTGATAAAAGTTTGTGGCACTGAAACCGTAGTGTTGAAGCAGCTGCCAAAATACTTCTCGGTCGACGCCTCGATCGAAGGCCTTTCCAAAGTCGATGAAGTTGAGGTAAAGAGTTGACTGCCATTCTATGCTCTGTTCTACGATGATGCGTAGTGTTGGAACTTGATCCGCACTTTACGCTCATGATATTATTGACGCCTGTCACCATCTTTTAAAGCAGTTAGTAAAATGGCATCAGCAACTAGTAACTGAACCACTGTTTTCAATGAAAACTAGCACCAAACAGGGAATCAGTGAGAAATATGGTTGATTAGGTAGTTTTTACGTTTTTATTTGAGTTTCTTTATGAATGCAAACAAATGTTGTCAAACAAGACATCTAAAGAATTTAATTCCAATACTGAGCGCTTTATCTTTCAGCTAGTGGGTCACAATCTAAACGTTCACAAATTTAATGCATTTGTGACATCATAACCTTCATAGGCGGGTATACAACTTACTCTTGACTTGGTAAACTCAAACACAAGTAATGGCTTTCAAGTCGAACGCTGAGGAGCTGATAGTATTGAAATCAAGATTTCTAGGATTAGAACAATATCAGAAACAGAAGTTATTCTGAATTACACTAGATAAACGATTTTCCGAAAAACTCAGTTGACAATGCATTTTACTATAGAGGTTAGTGCAAGACACATAAAATAAGAAAATGTCACAAAACAAACTCACCGGTACACATCATTTTCAATCGCTAATAAATCATACGCCATTGCTTGAAATGTAAGTTCATGCAGAATAGGTGAAATGGGATCAAATCCACGATCAAGCAAAATCAATTGGCTTCTATCTTTTTGTGGACCCTAAAAGATAGAACACATTTAGAAGCCTAATTTAACCACCGCTAAATCTTAAAACTAATAATGTATAGCGCTAAGAAGTGTGACATTCAAACTATCACGCAGTATCTCAAAATTTAAATTGAATTCCTAAGACAACAATTATTAACACACAAAATAAGCATGCACTTAACACTAGCAACTGTCCTAGTAGTTTAAATGCTCTAAGAATAGTTTTCAACATCTCTATACGTGTTATATTCGATAAAATTTTGTAACCGTTCATTTCATCTCACTTTGTAATATACAGTATAACTTAGATATTTGTATTCCATATTTACAGCTGCCAATACAGTCTTAGTGTACAACCTTGTAATATTAGTGAAAAGCATGCAAGCCTTCAGAAATAAGCCATATAAAATGGCAGTTAAATGAAAGCAATCGACTTTCCCACCACCAAACGTGACTACAGTCGTAACACTTAACACCCTTGTATCAGTATTGCATCACATTGGAAAAAATGAAAATATTTAGGATGAATTCCGCGACGAAATAAATAGGAAAATGAACCGATATTTTAATCTTGGATTTATGCAGAAAGTGAATGTTTCCTGTCATGTAAGAAAAGCATGAAACTTATATTGATTCGCTCGGGCCTTCGCGGGTAAATAAAACAAGATCGATCTTTTGTACATGATTATAATGGTAACAGAAAGTGAGTTCAGTAAGCAAATAATCTCAAATTATAATTTGATATCCAATGATACTCACTGCGTCTATCGATTATCAGTCAAGAGATAAATTTTTCGTTTATAACTAAGTGCTAATCTGAAAGACACTAGGTTCTTTCTAACTGTAAACTAGAACCAGATCTGGACATGCAAATATGTTGTATATGACTTACAAATGAACGGAGATAATATCAGTGTGACAAACTCAGACTTTTGGTTACTTAATATGAATAAATACATTTTATTAATACGCCTGTACAAATGCACTGTGGTTTATGTGCTAGATTGATAAACACTATCTGATAGTTGAGCATCACAGAACTAGGCTGGATTTTGAATTGTCCAACAAAAATATTTGAAATTCAGTGGATCACATTAAAATAAAACATACCTGTCTTAAGAGTAACTATATATGACTTTTCACAAGAATGGAACCGACTCCCCATCACGTGAATAGTAAAATTTCATCAAGTGACTTCAGGATATGATCTTTAAGAACCACATATACATAATTTTACACGAATACAATTATAAAACATACTTGGAGAAAAGTCGTGTTTTGGATTCATTGGGTCTATTCTACACAAAGATGCTTATCAGAATAAACAATTTAATATGGTTTCTTGTCTGCTAATCACTCGACATAGAACAAAACATAAAACTGTTATGATAACATTCAGTACAAGCTCCACTACAAGCACAAAAAACTAAATCTAATTTAAATAAACTTGCATATGTAAATTGGATAACAAAAAAATGCGGTACAACGCAAACTGTCAAGAACTACTCTTTGCATCTTTATACACATAACAAATCAATAATACATGGATTAACACTCGAAGCATCTAATTACCCCAAACGTATCATATCATTCATAGATGACTAGAATCCAACATCAAATTTAACCACAAAAAATCTGACTTTTTATGTGCGTATGAATAAGAATAATAGACTTAAAACGAAAATATAATCGTTTAAACTTCCTGCTCATATTTCTTAACTTACAAAATGCTTAATACAATACTATCCTATAATTAAATTCATAATGGTAAATATAAAAACATTCAACAAACACTAAAAGCTTACCTCGCCCATTTGAGGATCATCAGCTTTGTATGCATCCAATTTTTGTTGGACCAACTGTGAAAACTCAGCATTTCGTTCAAATTGACTAGAATTATAAAAAGAAGTGATACGATTGAAAAACAATTCCAGTTTTACAGAAAAACAGTTCACTAGGGTTAGGTTACTGCAACTTACTGTCCAACTTTTCTGATCAATCATTGATGAAACCATAGGGTGAATAGGAAGGTTAGCCCAGCTGATAGCTGCAACCTTGACGTGGTGGTCAGGTTTGTATATCACAATGACCCAACGAGCTGTGCTGATGAAACAATTATTCCCTCGCCGTCCTATCATATCAGAAAGGTCTATTGGATAGTGGTAAGAAACAAACCAGTTACCTTTGTAGTGGAAATTACTGCAATATGATGGGGGTCTGACGGCAAAGTCGTACTGCTGCTGGCTGGATGGGGTGTGATGGAAGTAAGGTGTTTCCCTTGGATGGCAAGTAATGCCACGCTGATTCTGTCTTCCCAACGGGAAGGAGAGAGTTAGAAAAGGTCAGCCCCAACAATAAACACATTTCACCATCCTCCACGGTCTCATGGTGCCTGAGGTGTGAGTTTTGCCTACGCAGTGTTAGAACAACCAAACTTCAAAAAACATCCCACAAAAGATGGTATGTGACGTGCCTCAAGCAGATGTCCCACAGGCTCTGCGGTCACGCAAATCATTTCCTCTTTCAGGTACTTTTAAAAGAAATAAGTCTCCAGGGCATGAGCAGCCGAAAGTGTCAATTGCCTGAACGCTTTCAGTAGTACACAAGACCCAGTTAAAAATAACATACCCTCCTCCTTTGCCCTCACACCTCCTCATACTAACATAGTGCCTCTTAGACCCTTCCTCGACCTCTCGCTCTGAAACCACTACCAACGATCAAAACCGTCGAAACCTCATTCCCAGTCTCCTAAGACCCCGTCATCGACTTTCCGTAGGAGCTTTCGACGTCCGGACTCCGTGTCAAATCGGAATCTCTAGCCATGGACGTGTGCTATTTCTGAGAGACGTATACAAGGCCCAAATGTGGTTATTAAATTGACTCCATAAGTCCGTGGTAGTGAATCTTTAAAATTCACTTTACAAGTATTCGGAGACCGCTCGTGAACTCGCTGGTGTAGGCATAGGGTTGAGCTGTAGAGCAGTGCGCTTCTCGACTGGATTCCGGTAAACAACCGTCTATGTGCTGTTCGACTGAATGAACCTGGAAGGACTACAAAGGATCGTGAAACCAACCGAAGCTTACTCGTAATCTCCGCCTACCCTTCAACTGGAGTTCGAATGATGCAAAGGATGAACTCTATGGAAAGCTGTTAATCTTGCTACACAAAGCAAAACGTTCAGACAGTCATAACAACAGGTGACTTTAACGCTCAAATAGGGAAGCTGAGCCAATCGTAAAGGCATCTTGGGGGTATTTACGGAATCCCATGCCAAGGAACCGACAACGGTGGTCGTCTGTTACAGTGTTGTTCCGCCCATCACTTGTTTCTGGTCAGCACTAACTTTAGATATAAGGAGAGACACTTCCTCACATGGTGTCCACCGATATCAAACCGAAAATGGACACAGATACGTTACATTCCTGTATGTCATCGTTCGAGAGGATCAGTGGAGGACTGACGCTCCTTCTGGAGTACCAGTTTGGACTTCAACCACGCCATAGTATGGGCTCGTCTATGTCTTCACATTACTGCTTACAGGAAATAGGCGATAGCAAAGCTCGATTACAAGACGAGGCACCAAATACGTATTTGGGGAGGAGTTTCCTAAGCACTTATCTCAACATTACACCAATGCTAATCTTGAGGAAATTCTATGTGATATTAAGTCTGTTGTAAAAACAGAGGTAAAGACAACTAATAACCTACAAGTAAAGGTTGAAAAAAGTCACTAGATTTCCTCAACGTCATCCGAACTCATTGATGCAAGAAGACTGATTCCAGATGGTTCTGACTACGATGGAGAGCGATAACAACTCATACACAAATCGATCAAGGGTCTTCGTAATGATACCGAGCAGTGGTAGGTGGCGAAAGCAAGAGCTATGCAAAAGGCATTGGACTTGGAGAACACTCGCCAACTAACTATTCAGGCTTATTAAGGATACCGGCATAAAGAAGACGATGGTTAGCCAAACCACCAATGAAAGGAATGTGAGGCTGATAACCTCCCAAGACAGGGGGTTAGAAGGTTGGGCGGAACACATCAAAACGCATATCACCTGGACCGCACACCAACACTTCAGCTGCACAATATCCACTTTGAACCTGAATCAGATGTAGATGTTGGTCCTTCAACTTTCCCTGAAGTTGAGAATGATGAAGCGAACCTGAAATGATGCAAAGCAGCAGGACCTGACAGTTTCCCAACTGAATTTTTCAAGGATAAAGTTAAGAAATCGGTGATTAAAGTGACGTGGGTACCCGGTAGTACATGCGAATCAGAGGTAGTCCCGTCAGACTACTTTACTTTACTGATCATCCCAGTCTATGAGAACGGAGAGAAGTCTTCTTGTAACAACCACACAGGAACACTAAATTGACCAGTTTTATTTCCAAGATCCTAGGGTCCATAGTTGTCTGACGACTAATCGGAGCTCGAGAACAGCAAACTCCAGAAAAATAGGCAGATTTCAAACCTGGACGAAGATGCATCTATCGGAATTTTACCCCACAACAGGTTCTGATAGCATAAAGTTTCAATATCCAAAGTATGAAAATATACCACCTTAGAAGCATCTGGAAATCAAGATAGGTTGTTACTATTTGAGAAGAAGCGGTCGAAATGGAAACCAACATTTTAAATCATCAGCCACTAAAGTAGAAGTTTTTATTTTACAATTTTTTTATGTCACTGTGTAGTTAGGAAAAAACTTATTGGGTAGTCTATCCTACAACTGACCAATGAGAATAAGATATTTAACTTTTGAACTGGTGGCTTTACATGTCTGTGAAATATATATATATATATATATATATATATATATATATATATATATATATATGATTTACTTTGTAAAGTGTCTTCTTTACAGTTACAGACAAGCCTTTGTCTCCACACATTTTTTTTGGCGTAGTAAAGTAAAAGGTACTGAAGGAGAACAGTCGCTATTCGTATCCAGTTCAAGTGTCTCACCGCGTTAGTGTTGTACACACATTTCCTAATTTCCACTCCGTCACTTTATTAGTCAAAATGACAAATAAATAAATATCTGAGTAACATGTGTTATTTTATATCTTTCCCCAATAGCTACATATAATGAAATAAATTTCTGTTAAGTCGAATGTATTCCAACTATAGTGATTAACATGTAGACACTGATTGCAGTTAATTTCTGAGTTAGAAAAGTGAAATATACGAAGTCAACGTAAATAAAGGAATGATCAGTGGCGTTCAAAAATGACAATAGGTTAAATCAGTACTCAACTACATACACCTCACTTCGTACACAAACTTTTAGTGACAGTGTGATCAACATATTTGGAACCACTAATTTATTTTATGACGTTAACTGAAATTACGATTTTCTGCTACACCTACCTTGGCAGTAATGTTATGCAAATAATTTAGACCATGAAATCACAAATATTAGAACATTTGCGGATTTACAACTAAAATATCTTAAATTCGTTGTCCCTACACGAATATATCGAAACTACAACAATTCATGAGAAATGTACAGTCAAAACTGGCTCCAAGACTACAGTATATTTTATTATCTCCGAAATTAGATCTTACGCTCAGTCGGTTTAGCTGAAAAGAAACACTGGTACTCACGTTAATCTAAAACTATAATTACAATAATAATAATAATAATGACATTATTATTATTATTATCATGGTTAACAGAAACCGAAACAGGAAAACCAAACAGTTATGTTACGATGAATTATTACTGATGCATCGTTTTATCCGAAGTGAACAGAAATACTCTTCACTAACCGACAAAATCAGAATGCAGACCAATTCAACGAAGTGAGGGCAGAAATGATATCAAATATGAGCATGAGCATGCAACACATATGACGATTTCCAGGTACCTATTGGTATATAAACATTTAATCGCCAGGCCAGGAACAAAGACAAACCTTGCATACGCTGTAGGATTCATTTTCCAAGTTGTGCAAATCCTGGGTAGTATAATAAGAATACGTCTATCAGATGCAACTCGAAAATAACTCAGTACCCAAGTGACTGACATCAGCATTACGTCGTTCCTTTAACAGATGACAGGTAGTCACACTAAATCAACGCACAACACCTTACAGAAGTGTATCACTTCTGTTGCCACACTTCACACCAGTAAGCAAATAACAAGTGGGTAGAAAAAGACTTGTATCAAAATAAACAAATGTGTAAGGGAGGAGAAGCAATCCGAAAATTAAGTTCGGGAAAACGTTCAAGCTTTAGAAGATGTCAAAGACTGAATACATCTGCACCAGTGTGACCGGTTTTTAGCCATTTCACCAAGTCTCTAACCACTGATTTCTACTATCTCTAGGACCCTAACAACATAGTCTACACCTCCTTACATGACTCAGAATAATAGTCATAGACTTCATAGAATGATGAGACATCTACGTCTGACCACCCTAAGCCTCCTTCCAACCTAATCGGATTTCGGCTAACATTTTACATCAAGATGGGCGGTGCCTCGGCATGCACAACATATGTTGAAGCCACCTCAGTCACCGAGTGTTTACAACCTCATTGGACGACTCGTTTGTCTTGTCCAATTGTCTTCTCCTAACCTCAACACTGCTCACACGATGACTCCACTATATGTGAACAACGCTACGAAAACATCTGTGGTCAAAAACCGTAACCTCTTCATATTTTCTTTTTTCAACAACAAAGTCTCACACCTTTACAACAGAACAAAGCAGACTGCAGAGCAGTATACTCACCCTTTGACAGGTGGTCAGATATCTTGCCGACGCAAAAGATGACGTGGGTTGGCAAATGTCACACGGTCCTTTTTATCTCAGTTGAGATTTCATCGGCAACCAACCCATTTGAAATGATACAACTTTTCAACTAAGTGAAGCGGTCAACACACTCTGCAAATTCATCCTCTATCATTGAAGTAGGAGTATTTGCAGATCAGTCAGTCCTGAAGCATCATCTCACATCTGACAAGTGAGAAATGCATACCAAAGATACTCAGATTTCTGCTCAAGGAATTCAGAACACCCTGTGTCTCAGCGTCTTCACCTAGTAGGACAGTATCGTCGGTGTACTCGAAGTCAACCAGGTGATCTCCAGGGAGTAGATTAATCCCGGTAAAGTCAGATGCACTTGAGGTCAAGTCTATCATTACATCTATAATGAAGTTGAACAGGAACAGTGACAGCGAACATCCCTGGTAGAGACCACTTGAGATGAAAACTCTCTTTGAGCTATTTCACGGTCGCATGGATTCGAGTAAAGAGCTTTTCATTAACTTAATTGCTCGATACTTTTATACTACAAGACACTGATACAACACCTCACGGTCGACAGAGTTGAGTTCCATCTTCAGATAGAGAAATATAGTGTGTTGGCTGCCGGTATGTATATGTTGCAGAACCTATAGAATGGTGAAAATCTTATCGATGTACTCCCGTCCAAGTCTGAAACCTGCCTAATTTTCTCGAGTTTGCTGTTTTCAACCTCCAGTTAGGCATCGGACAACTATGGACCCTAGGATCTTTGACACGATGTTAGTCAAACTGATTCCCCATTGATTGTCACAAGACTTTCTCCCTTCTTATAGACTGGAAGGGTCAGTGAAGTAGATCATACGCTACTTATTACACCTGCTACACAGTAATTTCACACCTCCTACCTTAAAAACCTCTGGTGGTAAACCATAAGGTCCTATTGCATTGCATCACTTGAGGTTTGAAACAGAATTCTTAACTTCGAGAAGTTGCAGGGCCGAAATCAACATCCCATTGAAGTTTCGGTTGGATGCTGGGCAACTGAAGTATAGTTACAGGCCAGCTGAAATGTTCTTCAAAGTTTTATGCCCAACGCTCCAGATACCTGACCTGAGAGGTCATCACCGACACAGCCTTTTCGGTGATGGTCTCAGCAATCATCGTTTCAATTCTTACCAGGTCAAAGTAACCATGGAGGATTGAGTAGTGCTGATGCCTTCTACACATACACCGGGCATTCGCTTCCAAACTCACTTATGTGGGAACATCCAATCAAGTAAAAGAAGTTAGTGAAACTCCAGCGGTAGAAACTATGAAAGTATGGTCGTATGAGTAGATTTCGAGAGGGAAATAGGACTTTAATCACCCTTAAGTGTACAAAGACATGGATTCAAATGATAACCGCGAGTTAGATATCATCACCACTAACATTCTTTTACGGGTGTGTCCATTAAATTTCAAAAAAATAGAAAGCGAATACAATGCTAAAAAATGTGCAATATTACGAAACAGTTGGAAAAAACGTACGTTCGGTAGCGAATAACAGGATATTCACCCAGTGTGGCACACAATGTAGCGATCTGTTCCGCGATCCGTTCAAGTTGCTGTCCAGACCCTTGTTGCCTGGCCACAGGATTGAAGTAATACTGAAAGCTCATAGGCGAATCTAATGAAAAAACTCGAGATTCGACCGGCAGAAAGGCTATATTGATCTCCTTGAGTGTTTTTAAAAATATGGCAGAATTTGACTGACACAACCGGTTGAATAGTTCATCTGGGCAAGCTAATGGGGGAAAATTACAAGCAAATTTTAACCACCAGATTTCAAGTAGTACAAACAAACAATAACGAACTACAGGTTATGAAACCCCAAAACCATGAGTTGCACAAACTTATTTCAACTAAATGTAACCTGACCTGGTTTTTCTCGATCAGTCTTGTAAGGTTAAACAGTACTCACTGTGACTCAATTTCCATACTAGTTGAGACAACTATCGTACAAAAATTCAACATGCAGGGTCACAAACTTCGGTAGTCGATGTGACGAATTTACATTCCTCTAATTTGCAAATATATACGATATCATCAAAAGAAAAGTGAGTTTCAAACAGAGTTACCGTCATCGACTCAGGTGTTTGGGATATATGCCTAGTTACTGTCGTCTGTTGTTAACTGAAGCGGTCTCAGACTGCAAAAAGCTTACAAGTGGCCAAGCTAAAACCCAGCGGCAGTTCATGAAATATTTAGCTGTTGGCTTGAGTTATGTAGGGCTACGTAGACTTCCCAGTTAGGGTTCGCAAGACAACAGGAACCAGCGGTTATAGACTCTAAGTGATATGGTTCAGAATCGATCTGTGGTGAGATGTATCCAAACAATATCGCAATCTTAATCGTCAAACTGAGACTCAGTATTCTCTTATTCTTTGTCTGGAGTATGCAGACGATATTGTCCTGCCAGATGAAAACGCTGACAAAATAGAGAGTATTCGAAACGCATTGCACAGAAATCTGAGTATTTTGACATGCGTTTCCCAACTATCAACTGTAAAGTGATGTTCCAGGAACGGTCTGCTGCAAGTACTCTGTTTAACTACAGGGAATGTCGACCACCTCACTCGCTTGCGGAGTTGCATCAGCTCGAACGGACTCGTTGTTAACGAAATCTCAGCTCAGGTAGAGAAGGCCCGTTTGACATTTGCCAACTTGCATTTTCTGTGGCGCCGACTAGCAAGATGTCCAACTAACAATTTAAGGATGGGTGTACTGCGCTACAGTCCTTCATATCCTGTTATACGGCTGTGAGACATCACTGTCGAAAGTAGAAGACATGAAACGGTTTACAGGTTTTTGATCATAGGTGTCTTTACAGCATTGCTTGCGTCCTGTCGAATCATCATATGAGTAATGTTGAGGTCAGGCGAAGGGTACTAGGCAATTCGATTGGTGAGGTTGTGAACCTGCATCGACTGAGGTGGCGTAGACATGTGTTGCGCATGCCAAACCAACAGCTACCTCGATATATCATGCTAGGAGATGTTGGATTAGATTGGAAGAGGGTTCAGGGTGGCCAGATGAAGACGTGGAGCCAGTCCATGAAGTCCCATACTGTTGGTCTGAGCCTTGTTGGGAGATGTAGACTGTCTGGTTTGGGTCGGAGAGATGAAAGGAATCAGTGGTTGAGGACTCTTGGTGACACAGCTGAAAATCAGTCTCAGTAGCGTAGGTGTGTGTTGACTATTTGACATCTAAAAGTTGAATATTTACACTAACATTTATCTTCAGATTGTTTATTCTCTCACACTACCTTGTCTACTTTGATATCAGTCATTTTCTATCGACCTGTTCTTTGTGTACTATTGTGAAGTGTGGCAACTTCAGCCGATGCACTTATATGCAAGGTTCTACGTTGATTTTGTCAGTCAGCGTCAGTTATTTCTCTTTCTTCCTTCTTCACGAATTTCTACCACTTTTAACTGCTTTTTATTTTATTTCCTTATCTTTCACCTTAGTGATTGCTCGCCTGATGCGCTAATATTTGACAACTTGGACTGAAACACGATCCTAAGTTTTATGTCACTATTGTCTGTCTACACTGTTAAAAGGATATCATAAATTGTTAGACACAAAGTGAACGGATAGATTCTGTTACACGAAGTGTATAGCAAGGAAATTGAGGATTTAAAAAGGCAATTTCTGTTGCACTCTGTTACAATTTAGTCGACCCAAATGAAGAAACTGATTGCATCTTATATTCTGAATTTCTTGAATAATGCCAACCAATGAAAGACAGAAACTAAATTTAAAAGTTATCTTGCATACGTAAAAAGTTCGATTAATACTGTAAAACGAAAGTGTCGTGCTACTCCAAGATTCCGATTGTAGATGTAACGGTCAAACTACAATTCCCACATCCTTCGGGAATCTTATTTTATTCAAACTATGCACAGTTCCGGTTGGTCGCTAAACACAGAACATCGTCTACTTATACGACAAAGACCTAACTAAACCCAGCGAAGTGTGATTAATACAACGAAAACCATAAAGTACACGAACACCAAGTACAACAACTCTCAACAAACTGGAGTAAAGCCAACTTCTTGATATCCAATACGATACATTGCGCACCAGAACTATAATATAGAATAAAATGATACCACCTAGCTGCCTCTATCAAGATTTTTGTGAATTTCACAAACCATTCTGTTTCAGTGGCTGAAAACATTTTCAGAGTATGCAGAAGTCCATTTTACCTTACTAGACGCGTTTAGGATACGAGTATTGAAGGTTCACTAAATCAAGGCATGTTTCAGAACATGCGTATCTTCCCAGGATGGTTCGAGAGTAGTGAACCATACGATAAGGTTTAATGTTCAGAAGTAGGTTGTTAAGCTAGTGAACGTAAAAAGTGAGGCAGGTTAAGTTTATACCTACCGCAGTGTGAGTTATTAGGAAAGCACAACCAATTTCGTAAAAAAGAATAGTTAGATAAGACGTCAAAAAATATCGAAATGCACTCAGCAATCACATGCACATGACGTAGAAGGCAATGAGTTACGCCAATTGTACGATGGTTAATGATACTAGCTTGGTAGGTGGAATTACGTCTGAACCCACAACCCACTAGTTAGAAATTGTGTTGAGTCACAGTTTCACAGGATGTGATATTGATTCATCAGATAATCCACGTTAGTATAGGCTATGTGAGAATATGGGTAATGTGGCTTAAAGTCTATCACAATGATGCAGATATACAGACTCATTTGTGAAGCTTCGAACAAAATTTTCACTTATTTATTTATTCTCTTACTACACACTACTGTTCACTTTTTTTGCACCCACTGCTTTTCCGCAAGCTGCTGGGAAGCATGGTAACTTGGACTGATACACTTTTATGTCAGATTCCACATTTACCTCTATTTGCATGTTTATAGGCCGACTGATAAGTTTATGAGATGCTAGCTGATGATTTTTTTACTAGATTATGGATCTAGTTTATAATTTTTAAAACTGCGAACATATAAAACTGTTTATCCCCCCCCCTTTGGGCTTATTTTAATATCATTTTGACTGCGACCTGTGGTTTGGCAGGCCAGTATTGATACTAGGGGATGACTGAAGCTGAAGTCCGGCCTACTCAGTTGGTACAGCACTGGGCCAGTAACCCAGCGATCGCTGGTTCGAATCCCATCGCAGTCCCAATTTTCGTCTCACTCTCAAACATCATCCAGTATTATTTTAATATATTCAGGCTTTTGTTGATTATAGGCTAGTGAAGTGCAGCGACTAACCAACATACTTTTAGGTGATCTCACATTTTTTCTATACTAAAAGTGAGAATTTGCAAGTAGGCTGTTAGTTATGAAAAATGATGTAAGAATCCATAAACATCTCGAATGAAAGGGAAGAAACTAATGCCAATATACGCTAGTTTCTTCATTTTTCTCCCTCTTCATACAGTCGCTAAAATAATGTATAGATAACTGACTATGGTAGACGATACAAGCGACCACAAAAATCTTACAATGCACTTGAAAGTGTTATAATCATGGGATTCCATTCTAAACAATAAAAAACGACAGGAAAAAACACTAAATTAGACAAAATAGAACTGAACTCAGGTTTGTCCAAAAACGGAATACTTGAATACGACTAGAAGCCAACTATTCTGAAGTGTCTTAGGTGAGACTGAGGAATAGTAACGCAAATTCACTGAGGGTACGCGATAACCAAACCGTTTTTTCCAAAATCCAAACCATTTTCCACTTTTTCCAACGCTTGCTCCTGACTTTTGCACTCTCCGGACTTATGCGACGTCCTTCTACGCCTTAAAATACACCAGAATAGTTAGCTTGATGAATGCAAAGTACCATAGTAACTGTGTTACGACACTTCTATAATGCATTGAAAGTCGTTTACAATCAAGACTACTGGTGCTGCTAGTTACAACAACTAAAAACCTATATATGAAATCAAATGCACGTTATATATTACAAATCAAACTGAAATCGAAATGTTCATTTTCATGCATTCGAAAATGTATTCAGACCGAGGACTAAGAATCTGCAGACCAACTTACCTTCAGTGAAAAAGACATGTGCATAACGGTACTGACTTTGTGAACCTTGAAAATCTTCCATTAATAGTTTTAAGGACTAAGAGTAAAAATAAGTAATAAGAACCAACCTCTTCTGTTGGAGTAATTAGATATATAGCTTCAATTGGTAGGACTTCCCTCTTTTTAGATATATCCTCCACGACTAAGAAGTGTGAAAATAAAAAAAGCAAAATACGTGTAATGCCATTATTCATTATCTCGTGCATTTTGCAACACGAAGATACAATTCTTGTGGCTAATCTATCCAACACCAAAACCTTCCAGTCTTTGGGTTTCCTCAAAGGAATGATTATTTCATCCATCAGCTCTGAAATTTTAGTCGAATAGAAACGAAGTAACCACTTTTGCGACTGCTTGCTTCAAAGACATGATGTAACAGCAAATGAGCCGTCGAATAGAACAATATGTGTCGCTTGAAAGCAAACTAGGCGCAATGGCTTTAGTCCAATCTCCAATATTTTCGGAGTTAGATTTCAACCAATAAATATAATCACAAAACTTTCTTGTTGCTATGGTTTAATCGCCGATTATAGTTAAATTGGTATTCAGCGGTTACAACGATTTCCCAGTTATCCAATCCAATATCCAATATTGATAGTGCGAGCGTAGAAAACTGGTAGTTCTTGATCTCTCGCGTCTAGTTCTTAGGGCTTGGTTCCAGTTGTTCGGTTTACTCTTGCAGTGGACGAGGAAATACCCTTTGCTTTCTTGCTTTTAGCTTCGGTGAGGTGGATGTTTTGTGGGTTAGTAGGTTGTAATTTGTAGAGTGATTAGGGAGCTACTGGTTGCTGGGAAGTTTAGAGAACTGCCGTGACTCCTGTCTGTGTAGGTACCTGAAAGAGGATAGTAAGGTAGTGGTAAAGGAATGAAGAGAGAATAAAGAAGAGAGTGAAGTAGCACCATAGAGACTCTGGGAGCTGGGTTAAGGCCGTATCGCTAACCATCCTTGCCTTTAAACAGGAGTTTCGTAGATAGCCACTCCCCCTCCTGCTCTATGTTCCCTGTCCCTGCGGAAGAGTTCCATGCCAGCAACACGCATCTCTTCGTCGGAGATGTCCGATGAGAGCCAGGATTCGGTGATGAATATGATGTCGTAGTGCTGATGTTCGCGCAGCGTCCTCATTTCTGCTACCTTCCCTCTTAGCCCCCTAACGTTGCTGTACATACATATTAAAGTGTGCCTGATGAGAGGGGAGGTCTGGATGTGTATTTTCGCGGGATGAGCGCTTACGTGGTTGATTTTAGCCTCACCAGTCCTCGTAGGACTGGCATTGTTCCGTTTTTTTGTGTTTTGTTCTTAACTTGGGTGGGGGCTGTAGCAGTGGTGGCTTCTTTACTTGATGTATCTAACTCACTGGTCAGCGCCTGTGTGACGACCACTGACTCCAGAGGTCTTGGTGGTTGCCGTCTCTCCTCTTGCCTTGTGGGTCTAGGCTTACTTTCACATATACGTACTGAGCCACCCATGCGATCCTTCGCATTATTCCATGCGTGCAGTTATCTGTCTGTTAAATTGGGGCTTTAGTTATCTTCTGCTGGTTTATTAGACACCGTTAAGACTTGACACATATTAGACGATTAGATGTTGTATCATCTTCGACAGAAGTAAATATTCACTTATAACACAGGCTGCTTTCTCCATCATGTACTGTATCTTCAGAGAGTCAATGAAACTAGTGGCAAGGAAATGAGAAGAGTAAGAAAGGAACATAAACGACACTATTGGAAAGAAATGAAAATATTCATTGATTCTTGTAGTTTTTCGTTACCATACCGAATCAGGTCACTCGGTCTCTGTGCGTAGATGTCTTCTGTTCAAATACTTCGATACTCTTATGCCGTTTGATTGTCCGTTGTTGATTTCTTATCGCCTGAAAACTAATTTGTCGCCGGTGATTATTTCTATGTCACAAAGATGGTACAAAAGTCAGATTCCTGAAAGCACCATAGTTTCTCCTCCGAAATGGTGGGGCAAGTACCAAACCGGACTACATACCCTCACAATGATATGAAGAAAATTATAGTGTATTCTTTATTACACATAAAATATCTGTGCCGAATGATTGCTATAAGTCGTCTGAATCTCAAGGGGCGGTTAAAACTATTTTAGTTCCTTTGATGGCAGCGACAGGCTGGGACTTTCCCATACATGTTCCCCCCGAGATCTCATTTTGGTCGATATGGTCCGCACCGCATCGTTTAAACTAAAAATAAGCTTTGGTGGACTGTGGTTCACAGAAAACATGATTATGGTTCGATTTATCATGTTTCATATGCATTGGCTGAATAACCCATCCATCGCAACTGTTCAAGATTGAGAGGGATAGAACTAGAGAAGCAAAAATTCCAAGGAGAAAGGAGACGCTGCTGTGGTGTGTTTATTATTCTTCACTGCGCTTTGGTTGATTTACTTCTCACCTAGCGGATTTTCCATGCGGCTGTTCCGTGTTCAAACTTCGTCCGGAGTGGCTGGAAGTTGAGACTCCTGACCACCATGTTTGGATAGGCCAGAACATTTATTTGTATAATTGAGGCTTTAATTTATATTAGATTCGGGCATGCAGATAGTCGAAGCAAATTTTAAAAAACCAGCGGACATTTGAGCAGCATATTTTCTAAATATTATGGCTATAAGGCCATCCGGGAGGTAGTGTGTCGGTGCAGTGGGTCGCCCTGGGTTTGTGTGAGGTTACATCTTCGCCCTCGTGTGCCACTTTTGTCCTGAACAAAGTAATATCTACATTCAACTCAAACCTCTTTTTCTGCAAGAAGTCGTAGATAAATACTTCTGCATACATGAAAGCCTCACATCTTTCGAGAAAATTGATCTGGGATAGAACTTTGTAGCGGGTAGCCGCTCAGCGCTAGCCAAATCTGGTCCCCCGGTAGCGAAACGGATGTATAATGGACAAGAGATGTTGATAGACATTTATCTGGATAGTCGAGCTTTTACTGTAAGAGATTCATCAATCGATATGTGACATGTCAGACCTATGTTGGACTACTGTAGGATGTTGACTTTGGTACTCTTGATTTAAGCTGAGTGAGATAGAAATACCACCGTCCTGTGGAAGTGCGTTGTCAATTCCGTCTTCGTCACTTGACCCTCCGGTTCTTCCCGCAACCTTTCCGCTACGATGGGCTCGGTCGAAGAGATGGATAAGATTTCTGCCACCAGTTGGCCAGTTGGCCATCACACGTTTTGTTAAGCGAGAAAGAGACCTTCACACACCGTCAGTCCCTTCCAAAGTTGGATATAGATCTGCTATCTGCTTAAAAATAATTGGTGGACAGGCTCAGAACGATGAGCCAGCTGTGGGTAATGGCACTCTGGAATTGAAGGCAGTTGCTAAACTCGTCCATGTCATTTAAAGGTGTTCCGGTCGGCGTGTTCTCTTTAAATATTCTTCTTACTGGTACAAATTATTAGGGGCGGCCCTCTGGTTGAACAGATACGATGAATGCTTGAAGATCATGCCTTTTCATGGTGACGATAGCTTGGTCGTGAGATCCTTGAGGGTCAGTGATATACAGGAGCTGAGGTGATAACTCTAGAGGCTACTGTGTGGAAATCGCGGGGACAGATTGACAATAAACCCTGCCATGAATTTACAGGATTCAGGGGACGGATAAACTGACCAGTTCAAATCGTTTCTAATGAGACCGCTGGAACGCCAGAGTGTCACCTCATCGGTTTATCATGCCAAACCGAGAATGTATCTATTTGACTTCGTAGAAAGAATAAGAGAAGAGTTATTAGGGACGGACGTACAGTGGAGACAGCCCGTCACAAGCCAGTCGTCATGATTGGGATTTTCCAACTGCTACTGAAATCGATTACTAAAGGGCACAGGATAAGCGATGAAATGTCGGGAATTGTTCCTAGCAAACATGCTAAACTTTGGATGGCAGACAAACTTAACCCGCAGGGGCATTTCAGAAGATTTTGCTATTCAAACTCCCAGTAGGTTGCTGCTCCTACGAAGAATGTGCAGCTTCAAACAAACGAATTGGGGGCCCATGCTATCATCAGAGGATGTGGACGAGTGAAGCACGCAGCAGACATGTTCTGAAAAGGCCTTGAAAGAAGTATTTTCTAGCCCTGCAGAAGAAAGATAAATGACGAAACCTCACAAAAACTTGTAGGTTGAAAGTGTATTGTTGGTGTCCGATGAATCCAGCAACGGAAGAATGTGAAGTTCATCAATAATGGATTGGTACAGTCAACTAGGGTCAGAACGATGGGTTGTGGCTGAGGTATGTTAGAAACTAGGCTTACTCCAGTGTCAGCTTGTAAATAAGCCAGATGCTGGGCTAATAAACGATTTCCACACCCAGAAAAATTGCTACACTGATGTCAGGTCTTTACGGTGCATGGATGTGGATGAAACCTAATATGCAGTTATACATTCAAATACGGTTTCTTTTAATGACATCCGAAGACTCCCTAAAATATTTCTTCCGCAGGTGAGTTCCGGGGTTATGCTCGATGTTTTTAGAAGATCCTTATGCTGAAGGACCTCTGTCTTGCATCAAGAGCAGTTGATTACAGCGTGATACAAAAATGAATCTCTTCAGTACCGTCAGCTGGATCCCAACCGACTCAGTTCAGAACACCTAGGTTCCTCACGAGGGATATATTTCAGGGTACTGCGATATTCTGCAGAAATATTACTTACTTCAAATCGTGGATTTCCAGTTTAATGGCCGATAAAAAAATGATATGGTGCAATGGGTCGAATTTTTTGAATGAGCTGCTGCAAGAAACTCCCATGTCATCAAACAGAATGCATGAACTTGATGTCTGGTAAAGTTGCAGGAAATGAATATGAAGTGTGCAGAGCAGTGCCCTCTCGCGGGTCTTAAGTGTGCCTAATCTTCTGACATTTTTGTTCTTTAACTCTTGTTATATATCAGATACCCATGTAACAAAAAATGCAGGTGACCTTGTTACTGGGAGTTTCGCCTCAACTTGGCTGCAGAAAGAATATTTCGTGGCTGAGACCGATTGGCGGCGTAGACCAGACTAATGCAAATATGTTTATTCATGTTTGCGAGCTGCCCCACGGGTACACCACACACTGTGGATTGAGATTAGCGCTTGGATTACCAGGAACTCACACTGTCACTGTCATAGAGAAGGGAATGCCACTGAAATGGCTTTAACTATATTCGGGGAGTTCGATCGGTTTCAGTGACGGGACGTAATATAATTAGCAGAGATATGTATCTCCAAAAACTCACTTTTATTTATGACACTGCTCAGTGGTGACCGGTCGAATTATGATGACCCAGTCGTTTGTGACTGCAGCTGAATTGTGCGGTAAATACTTACTACACTCTTTAAGTTCGAAGCTTGCTCGTGCCGAATCATTCTAGAAACTGCTCCTAACTAGCAGATAGCGATTGACGTTGCCGTCGTCCAATGTATTAAC